CTAACGTGGCTCACAGAAGAAAATGACAGATTAGGCAAAGTCCAGGGCTCATGGTTTAGCCTGTTATAAATATTTTTCATAACGAGGTCGGCATTATGAACCTCTGCATATTGGTAGAGAGGTGCTCCCAGGAGCCATAGAAGGGAAGGGAGGAGGTCAGCCTCCAGGAGAGACGGCACTCTGAGGTGAGGTCCTCCTCCTCCTACATGCGTTTTCATTTTCTCTGGCCTCCTCCTCCCTGGCTGTCAGGGTATCAGCTGGCCCTCTTGCTGTGCAAAGTGGTCTGGCTTTCACAGTTCCCTCCTGTTTTGATTCACATCTAATATGCCAGGGGCTGAGAAACCAAATAATAGAGCTGATTAGAATTTTGTCTGAAAAAAAGATGAACACAGGCCTGAGAAAGTGTCCCTGAGCACAAAAGTGTCGCCTTTTGGATGCCATTGACTCTAGGTCAATTAGCCTAAAGCCAGTCACCTAATGAGCAATTTGCCTATAATTTAAAACCTTTTTGAGTGTTTTTACATGGCAATGTCCTTTGATTCCTCCCCCCCATCTCTTTGGCATTATAAAGTTTGTAAATCAAGCCTTCTGTGGGCACACCAGCTTATTTTTAAATTTTAGTTTTTATGCTTAATTTTAATCTTTTAAAATTAAGTTCATTTCTTTGGGAGATTGGCAATGAAAGCAAGAACATTCAAAATGGAATTTCTGGTGAACTGGCAAATCAATATGAGAACTGCTGTTCAGGGGACTTTAACATCTAATTTTCATTTTTTTTTGAGGTTGCAAAATTCACAGGAAATGTGAACTTCAGTCAGGCCAGAATGCTCCCACTGACTCCCGGTCACCTCTGTCTCCTCTTTTCTCTTGTCCTGTGATTGCACAGGACTCACACAGCTGAGGTTCCAGCTGCCACTCAGGGAACTCATTTGTGTTCTTGGACTTTGCTTTGTTTCCACCACGAATGTACCTTAAAGGTGCTATTAGGCAAAACTCAGCCTGCTGAGTTTCACCCAGAACAGGGCTTACTTACCTTCCCACTCCATCCGGGAGCCTCCACTGTGTTCTGAAATGGACAGAGATGGCGGAGGGACTTCGGGGATCTTTTTCACAGAGGCAATGCAGAGACTGTGGGAGTCAGCCAAACTCTCACCTAAAAACCTGATGCTTCATACAGGGGGCGAAGGGAGGGTCAAGGTCAAGGGACATCTAGTATGACTGGCACTGAGGAGACCAGCCACTCCAAAGCAGAAGCCAGGATCCTTATAGCACATGGTTCTATGTGTGCTTTAGAAGGAAACCAAAAACCAGACCTGCCTTGAAGACAAGAAGCCAAGTTGACCTGGAGATCAGGACAAAGCTAGTAGATATGTTCTTATCAGGCAGCAACTGGGCTGTCAATGCAATAGGAAAAAAAATGGAGATGGTCCCCATTACCCACCAGTAGCTCTGACCAAAGACACTGGGCCTCTGGACAGAGTCTGTGGGCCACTTGACATCTCCCCAGAAAGCAAGTATGCCAGTCAGCATGGGACCCTGACCCAGAGTTCCAAGAAGACTGGACAGCCAGGGAAGGTGATGTAGCCATGCCGCTGTTTGACAGGCAGGTTGGGAAGTCAGGGGGCAGCTCCGAGAAAAGAGACGCTGACCGGGAAGGCCTCACTCTTGTGCTTGGTCAGGATTTGAGAACACAATTCTTCCGGAAATGGAAACTTCTCCTTTTCGTTATGAAATTGCCATTGTAAAGTCTGCTTTAAATATCTTTTGTTGGGGACAGAGCCAGTAACTGTCCTCAGTGTGTATGAGCTTCCTTTATCTCTGCCTGGAGAATGATAAGTTAGCTCAAGTTCACATGCCCTCAATGGGGTTAGGGCCGCCCAAGACTGGAAACTAATAACCAGCCATTGAGGAAGCTGTAAAATGTATCTTTTCCTTTTAAAAAATCCGAGTATGTGATAAATTGTACAAATATATTTTATCCCAATCCCTTCTACTTAAGAAAAGTTAACGTTTTAAAAAATTGTTTTACTCTTTTTAATTATAAATAAAGCAATAAAAACAAAAAATGGCAAAGGATATTTTGCAAAGTAAGATAATAATTTTGTACTTTCAAATACTATAGGTGAATGTTTTTTGTTTGTTTGTTTTTGTTTTTGGTACCAGGGAATGAATTCAGGAGCACTCGACCCTTCAGCCACATCCCCAGCCCTATTTTGTATTTTTTTGTGTGTGTGTGTTTGGTGTTGGGGATTAGAACCCAGGGCCTTGTGCATGCAAGGCAAGCACTATACCAACTATGCTATATCCCCAGCCCTATTTTGTGTTTTATTTAGAGACAGGGTCTTACTGAGTTGCTTAGAGCCTCACTTTTGCTGAGGCTGCTTTTGAACTCGTGATCCTCCTGCCTCAGCCTCCCGAGCCACTAGGGTTACAGGTGTGCACCACCGCACCTGGTTGTGAGCAACTTTTTTAGCTTCCATGCATGGTATTTGTCTTTCTGTGCTTGGCTTATTTCACTTAATATAATGTGCTCCAGTTAGAAAAATAGGAGTTGTATTACAACAAGTCCCCAAACAGACAAAATGCAAGTCAATCATATGAGGTAGAATATTTGGGGACTGTTTTAACACAGACTAAGTAACATTGGCTTCAATTAAAATGACTGTCTGCCTGTTAGTTTACTTCTCAGGCACCAGCCCAAGATATGGGTAGAGTAAAGGAAGAGACCCAGGTTTTTCTATCTTGTTCTTCACTATCTTCTAGCATGGTCATATGGTCAAAAGTAACTTGCTGCCACCTGGTCCCTGTCCTAGATAGAAGCAAAGAGGAGAAAGAAGATGAAGAATATGCTCCTTTGTTTTCAAGGAAAAATCCAGAAGCTGTACTCATCCCTTCCACATTCATTCATAGGCCAGAAGTTAAGTCCCTCGGCTACCACTAGCAGAAATTGTCCACTCAAAGCATAAGGACTCTACTAATGAAAGGAAGAAATAGGGGATTCACACTAGTGGACAAATAATCGTTTTTACTTTTTTAAAATATTTTTTTTAGTTGTCAATGGACCTTTATTTAATTTATTTATCTGTTGTGCTGAGAATTGAACTCAGTGCCTCACACAAGCTAGGCAAGCACTGAGCCACCATCCCAGGTCCCAACTAATTGTGTTTTTAAAACACTAAATATATGTCTGTGGGTACAAAGATATAAGTACAAGTTTACAAAGACATGTGGAAATGATCAACACCAAACACAAGAGGGTGGTCCCGGGGGGAGGGGGAACAGGGAGAAATGAGACGTCAAATGGGGATAGGAACCTGCAGGGACAATTCGATTGTATCCTGGATGTTTTATTTTTAGAAAGTACTTGAAGCAAACATGACAAATGTTGAGCTCTACCAAAGCTAAGCAGTGGGCACATGGGTGCTTTTGCTTTTTTCTGTGGTAGAATTGTATCATTTTAAAAAATTAGCAAAACTTAGCATTAGCTCAACGACCCTACTGCAACTCAACTCATCATTAAAATGTATTTTGCCAATTTTAAAATGCACATTTTCCTACGTGAGAACTCTCAGAAATGAGTGCATCTGATTATAGTAGGCAGCGCTTTTCCTCTTAGTGGTACATTAAATGATCTCGCACTTTACACTTGATGGTGAGTTAGATTGGAAGACACACAAGGTATAAATGGCAGTTCATGTGGACTGTGGTATATTGTGGATGGGGGGGCAGAGGAGGGAGGTGTCTCACAGGTGGGCATCCCAGGACCTACGGTGCTCTTACAGCTTCAAAGGACTTCCTGAAAATGTCCTTCAGACTGCCCCTTATTGGACTGCCAAGGTTGTTCCCAGCCTGTGGGGGTGCCTCTGACAGGTCATACAGAAACTCACACATCCAGACTGATTCTCTCTGCTACTGGGGGAAAAGGAGCAGTTAAAATCCCCCCTTTTATTAGTTCCAAAGTGCTTGGGAATCTCTCACACAGTGAGAGCCAAAAGCATAAATGGCACCTACAGACTAAGCTCAACCTTGACTGGGAAGAAAGTGGAGTCAGATCATTCCTGGACCCAGATTTTGGACAGTCTGGAGGACACAGCAGACACCTCTACAGCCATCTGAGGCAGACAAGGCCGTTCCCTGGTCAGCAGAGGAGATGGCAGAGGTGGCCACCAAAGCCACCATGATCCACTCGCCTTTGATGTCTGATGTGCTACTGTGGGTCTGTCTTACAGAAAATTAGCTAAGAATACACTGGTAACATTGTCCCCTCAATGTATCAAGAAGGGAGGGAACCAAACTGGGGGAAAAAAAATCCATACAGCTGGTTTTTATCCGAACACAGAACACCATTTATTTTTAAAAAAACATTTATGAAAGTTTTCTTCATTTCTCACATTCAGTTAGTATACAGTTGGCATTTTCAAAATTCAAACCTGATGTGGATTTGGAATTCAATGAAGCACATTGGAAGACATCTGAGTGAAGGGAAAAAAAAATTCTAGCCATATGCTACTGGTGCATGAATTTGAATATTTGAAAGGTAATCTAGAAATGAGAATGCTTCCAATTCTCCTTACCAACAACATTAATTCATAGCAACCACACGAGTCGTAGACAGAGCTGGTTCCCCATGTGAGAGACAATAGTGGGATAGAGCCCGGGGCTGGCCTTGTAGTACCGCCCGGCTAAGTCACAAGCGTAGTTCTCACTGGGTCACTGGACATCCAGCAGCTGTTTGGTCACTGGTGAGGGGGGCTTCATGACTCTGGCCTCACTGGGTACATTAACACACAAGAGAGTTTCTCAGATATTCAAGTTTGGTTAACAACTCAGATTGGCCACTTTCAAAGACACCAGAAAACAGACCTCTCCTATTAAGGATTTGCTCCTTAGGTCTTTCTGTTTATCTACACAGCCACAGAGGAAATGACCAGAGCCAACCACACAGCAGGGACTTTCCCCCTAGCTCTGACACTTGTTTACACCCTGACCAGGATGGGAGGAGAGCCCGTGTTCTAGCTGGGAGGTTCCCTGACAGTGCTCAGTCAGCCCTGCTCACCTTGTCCCCAGGCCAGGCCTCTAACTGGGTCATTCTGTCAGAGAATATACAAAGCAAGTGGTCACATGCTTTGCTAATCCACTCATGTGCATTCAGGGGACACTGACTCACACAAAACCAGAATCCACAACACGATGCCAGCTCACTCTCCAAGCCGCATGTCAGGGACCCGACCTGTGTGTTCACATAGGCTGCTACAACACCAGGGGGGAGTCCAGATGCTGAACGTCCTGCTTCCTGTGCTTTTGGAAATGGAAGGGGATGGCAAGACTTGAGAGAGGTAAGCAAACCTTTATTACCTTGTTGATAAGACGGGAGAACAAAACGATGGCTTTGCTCCTGTCCTTACACAAACGGACTAAGACTCCTACCTGCCGCCGATTAGGGAGATGTGTTCTTCCCAGAAGCATTAGAGAGGGCCAGAATAGGGCCAAGAGCCACAGCTCTGTGTGACAAGGGGAATCGCATGTCCACCACAGCCCCATTCAGCCACCAGGGTCTCTACCTCACCCCCCATCATCCTAGCACAGACCTGAAGATAAGGGAAGCCCCAGGTCTGTCAGGGAGAAGTCTCTGTGGAGTGGATACACAATGGTTAGCAGAGACCCTCTTCTCAACCTGCACCTTTTATAAGGTGACGCTCATGTCTCTACTCTCACCAGAGCGAACTCTCGGGTGCAAGCACGGCTGCAGGGCCAGGTGTTACCACCTCTCCAGAGCAACTCGCCTCTCTGGCCAGGAGTTTCTGAAGCAGATAGATGTGAGCTAGTCAGAAAGCACTGGCTTCCCCAGGGCCACCTGCATCCCAGAGATCTAGGGTGATCTCCACCCCAGGCAGTGAAATACAATCTAAGGTGGGACAAAGGCCTGGAAAAGATGTGCCTGTGTTATGCGTGAATTAGCTCCCTGAATGCTTTCCGCCTGGCTGAGTTGTGATGGTGGAATCTTATCTCTGCAGCCTAATGTGGTGTGACCAAGGGAGTTTTTGTTGTTGTTTGCTTTGGTCTGCAGGTTGCCTAAAATTACACAGCTAGTAAACTGCTGTCCCTGAACCTGCCTGCTCTCCACAGCATGGACAACAGCTGATTAAGGAGTCCATCAGGTTAAGCCTGAAAGTCCCCAGGAAGCACAATGGCAAAGGTTTGAGAAATGCCAAACTCTGGCCAACTCCGGGCTAATTTGGGATTCCAAAGTGGTAAGGTAAGACACGGGGCCACTGGAGCTATGGAGTTGCCCCACCAGTGAAGACTGCTTCCCACCACGGCCTTTCGCAAGCCAGAAAACATTTGGAAAACTTGAGAATTTGACTACATCCAGAAACTGGCACTGAGTAATCACTCCATGGTTGAGCAAGTGCTTTGCTGAAAAAGGTCTATTGGATGACAAACCATACATCAACTTGCCTTCACTTTATTGGAAGGAGAAATTCTAAACAGATTCTGAAAGAGATCAACCCTAACTTTATTTAGGTCACGCTGCTGACACACACAAATAATGGGAAGCGTGTGACTAATTGAGAAACAGCAAGGAAAGGTCAATGCCTAGTTTATTTCTTAACTCACAATAATGTGAGTAACACTCGTAGGCATTTGCACTATCCACTCGTCGATGCTGCAGCCGTTAAAGGAACAGAAGTAGGGAGGTTCATTTAAACTCATTTTTTTTTAAAATAAAAAAGCTCTGCCAGTACATGGCGACTTAAACCTGAAAACCACACATTTCAGAACAGCTCTCAAATGCATTTAGATAATGAAGCCTCAGTAACCTACCTGTGCAGGAGAAATGATTATAACCCCCATTTTATCAATAAGCAGCTGGATATTCTTGCATGTGAAGTGATCTGCCCAAAGTCCCTCATTAGTTAATGATAGTTGAGCCAGAATTAGATTGTGAGTCTCCAGGCTCCGTACCAAGGGCACAGGGCTCTGTGGTCTCGGGAGGGTAGGCCAAGTATAAGATGCTGAATCCAAGCAATACCTGTGTTTATTATGGACTGTGCAATTCCTATGTTGATTATGATCACTGATGTCCATGTACCCCCGAAGGCAACCAGCCTTCCTGTACCTGGATCCCTGCATCTAGATCTATAAAGGACCCAGCAGGAAATGATGGGAACTTGATCTATTGGTGACTCACAAGGCCTGTGGCTCCGTTCAGAGCGAATTCCCTGCTGAAGGTGGGGAGCAGCATTTGAGCATACAGGGAAGGTGGCACCATGCTCTGGCACTCTGTACATTGGCAACCTTTGGCTAGGAGGAAAGATCATCTTCTCTGAGCACACTGAAGAAAGACAGCCCAGGGATGCCACAAAACCTGGGGGACCAGGCTGTGGATACACTTCCCCGTCTACACACCCCCGGGGAGTGTTTGGTCTGATGGATGGCGAAGGTGGTGTTGAACATGGTACTCACTCAGAGACACTGAAGAGCCTGGGGAAGCACAGAATGCCCGTGTCACCCTCATCTTGCGGGAAAAACTACAAGGGAAACGAGGCCAACCCAGATCATAAGTGGATACGCTTCGAGTAGCCCCCGGGGCTTCTGAACACCAAGCGGAAGCTTGTCAGACATTAATGTGCCCAGGGACCTGCAGGTTCTGCTTCAGCCTGGCTCAGGTGGGGCTGAGATTCTGCATTTCAAATAAGCACTAAAGGGATGATTTCCATGCTCCCGGGCCGGACCACACACTGAGTAGCAGGATCTAGAATACCACGACCTTCTGTGCCCTTGTAATTTCAGGCCTCCCCCTCACCCCATCCCCCATGCTCATGACAGGCTCCTACATCCTGCCATATGCACATCCACCAATTTCACTGGTCTGAGCTCATCCTCTGTCTCACTCTGTGCCACCTTGGGCTGGGCTACTTCATGCTTGCTGTCCCCTCTGCCTAGGAACTCTTCTGCTGAATGACTAACTGCCATGACCCCTCATCTCCTCCAGTGCAGAACCAACCCTGCCCCCTGCTTGCAAGCACTGCACCCACTCTTGTGTCTCCTGTACCCCCTCCCTGTCCACGTTCTCCACAGCACTTACCACTATTTTAAAATTTCATACATGATTGGCTTAGCTCACTGTCCACCTCACACCTGCCTGTCGAGCACAGAAGACAAGCATTTTGTCTTGTTCACTGCTGGATCCCAGTGTGTGGCATCTAATAGGCACTTCAATATTTGTTAAATGAAGAAAGAATTTAACTTCTAATGAAAATTTTAAAGTGCCTACCATCCTCCTCAAGGACTCTGAGGAACTGTTTGCTTACAACTGATGTGAATGATTGTTTTTCTTAACTGAACAAAGCACCTCGGGATTTCCTAAGGATCTGTTGTTAAAGACTACAGATTCTCTCCTGTAACTGTGGGCTTCGTGGAGAAAGGCACTCCCAGTGTTTTCTAGTTCTTGTTTGCCATTCAGCTGATGGGGCTCCTCCTCCCACTCACAGGACCCACACAGATGGGGATATATCAAAATCAACAGGCAGATTGCCCCAGGAAAGGGTCCTACTCCCACCCATGGAGAAAAGAAGGAAGCAGGACGGGAATGTGCCCGTGGTACACACAATGACTCCAAGGCTCAGCAAGTGATGGGCCTGCTGGGGTCTCACTTGGTAAGGCTGGGACTGGAACCTATGCATGGCTCCTAAGTTACTCCTCTGCTCCTCTTTACAAACAGAAGTTGGCAGCTGGGTTGAGAGTGGTTTCAGCTACACAACTCAGGACAGGGACCCTGAAGAAGTCTAATGATATCCATGGAATCAGAGAAAGTCTTCCTGGGAGTCAGTCCTGTGTGTGCATCAACGGTGGCTACTGGTAAACAGAGGACCCTGTCCAGTGTGAGGCCAGGACCCACACTGCCCTTGAGCCTGGCTGTGCCTCTCACCATACACACCCGAGATAGGTGGGCATGTGGGAAGCTCCGCATTAACCACAGCACAGTTCCATTCCCCAAGACAGGACATTCTTAGAGCTTATAGATTACAATTTTAAAGTTGCAGGTGGAAATGTGTGTCCAAGTTCACTACCACCTTTCTCTAAAGGTTTCTCCTCTCCCACTCCATCCCAAGTAAGCCCACGTGTCAGGGCAGGACTGGAGGCATTCCTGAGTGTCAAGAGGATTCCTGACTCACATTCAATTCACCCCTGGGGCCAGCGTCCCCAGAAGAAAGACCTGCCTAGTTCATGATTCACATTGTACCTTAGAGTCCAGTTCGCCCTAAAGCTGCGTTGGAGGGCAGCTTGGGTGCTGGGTTTGCACTGGACACACAGACCTCTCTGCTTAGCTATAGCCACCTGTGCACATGCAGAACTGGCTTCTGGGAAAATCCAAGTTAGAGGTCACCCTTAAGACACTAGAACTCAATGTGCCCAGGGTGTGGTACGATTTTGCAGTCCTGATATGAACAGTGTGGATAAAAAGGACAGTTTGTGGCCTATTTCATAACGGCTCACTCCTGTTCCCAGCTATCTGCCTATAATGAAGAACACACAATTCTGTCTGTACCCTCCTGAGCAGGGCATGAAGCCACAGTGAGGGGCTGGTCCGGGAACTGCCTGGGAACTGAAGGAAAGAATGACTTTCTCTAGGTTCCGTTCATGGGACCTATGAATTCAACAAACCAGAGAGAGATTACTACGAGAAAAATCATGTACATTTAATTTCATGTTAATATTTTTACAAGGAAAGAAGTGAAAACCCTAAAGAAGTGGTTGGACCCAGAGGCTTATATACTGCCTTAACAAAAGCAATAAATTGTGGAGATAGGATAAGACAAAGAAAAACTGGGTGTAGTGTGGGGTGGTAAATTATGGGAAAGTCACTAGGGAATATGTGGGAAAAATTAATGGAAGATAAGGCTTATTCTAGTGAGACTGATACAAACTCTTCTGATATAAGCTCCTCCCCTTCTCTAATGATAAAAATGTTCTCTTCCTGGTACAGGGAGGGGACTTTTCTTCCAAGAAATATATGCTCTGACTTGAGATAGAAAGAAGAAGGGCAGAGAACCCTCCTGCACTTGCTAATTCTCAACTGCCACCAGCCTGGATAATCAAGGTGTCCAAATGACATACTTTGGGGCCTGTTCTGACTCCTGCAGGGCTGAGAAGCCAGCACTGTTGGGTAGCAGGGGGGCAGACTTTCACATGTCAAGAAGAAAAGGAGTGAAATGTAGGAAGAAAACTAAGTGGTAGCAGCTTCCCTAAGCCCTGCTTCCCAAATGTGGCTTCCAGAGTCTCATGCTGTTCCCAACGCTATCAGGTTTTTAATTTGTTTCTAATCTCAAAACCTTTATCCACTGTTACACCAATGCCCAGAGTCTCACAGCCCCCATCTCTCTCTCTTTCTCTTTCTCTATCTCTCTCTCTCCCTCTCTCTCTCTCTCACTCTCTCTCTCTCCCTCTCTCTCTCTCTCTCTCTCTCTCTCTCTCTCTCTCTCACACACACACACACACACTCACCCTCACTTAAGAGAAGACAGTAATGAGAAAAGCCAGGTCAGAGAAGATGCTAGAAAAAGAAGAAAGTTGTAAGAAAAAGGAAGGTGGAGAAGAGGAGAAGCTGTCCTAACAGTCGGTCACCAAGCTCTTGACTCCCACCGCATGGGGCCAGATCTTTCGGGAACAATGGAAGGACCTTCTGCTCCTTACTGCGCTCTTCTGCTACAGGTCTAAAGGAAACTAGCTATTGTAAATGGATTCGCCCTTGCCCTCCGCATCAATCAGACTTGAGACCTGAACCTCTGTGATTGTAAACCGATGTCTGTTCTCACTTGCTCCCTGGGGTAAACTTCTGTGTCAATCACATGCCAAGATGACAGTAATGTTACCTCGATGAAGTGCAATTAAAATTGCCAAGGAATGTCCCTTATCACAGAATCACGGAGCTCGCATCTTAAACCTTAGAAACAAACATCATCTACTGTTACCAGACTTTATTGACATGGAAACCGAGGCCCAAAGAGGTTGGTCAAGGTCACATACATTATTAGGAACAGAGCTATGCCAACTGTGAGGACAACGCTCTTTCCGCTACTCACACCGCCTAGCACAACTACGTTTAATTTTAGCTCATCACACATTCAGCTTGCGCTTTCGAGGAATGTTATAGTCCCCACTCCATCTGTTCATCCTTCTACTAGCTTCTCTTTATTCAGTGCTTCCCATGCATCTATCTGATGCACTCTCCTTAAAAAAACAGAGGAGAAGTCCGGGGTTTAAACTGATCACCATCTGTCTGTCATTTGGACAGCCCTGGGATGGCTCAAACACCTGTGGTTGACAATGCTCCATCTTCTTCTGAAGGGCTGGTTCTAGATCTGCAATCCACTTTGGGCAAAGACAGAAAAAAAAATTCTTCCAAGATTTACAGCCACTAAGAGTAAGGCCACCATGGTCATCTTATGGCACACACCATCACCTAATTAGGTTTTGCTTTAAATACAATTAGAACTGTTCAGGTGGAAGCTATCCAGCTAGAAAAACATGTTTGGTTGTGCACCACTATTAAAATCTGTGTCATGAAAAGTTGAAGGCACAGGCCTGGGGATGTCACTCAGAGGTAGAGCTTTTGCTTAGCATGTCTGAGACTCTGGGTTCCATTCCCAGAACTGGAAGGAAGAAAAAAAGTTGACTCAGTTTGAACTTTTAGGGTGCTAAGCTGAAGTGCAGCCCCCAGAGTGTTTCAAGGGTCATAGCTGTGAAGCGTGGTTGCCTCTGGGACACAGAAACAGGTGTGATCCTCATTTCCACCAGAGCCTAGGTCAAAAGCCACACCAATGGAAAGGGTTGCAGGGTTTTCAAAATGCTACCAGGTATGAGGAAAAAAACTTCAGCAATCAAACAACCAAATAATTAAGGAATAATAGTTCACTTCACTGTGCATCTCGGGGAAGCAGAGTACATGGCATTATTTTTTGTGAAGCACCAATACATGGAAGGGTGTTTGATTTGTGTGCAGATGTTGTAAGTACCGAGATGGCTATCTGAGTAGATAAATGCTTCAGGGACTTTGAGCCTTAGGAAAATGGGATCTGGCTAAAGTTTCTTTTTTCTGTTCTCTTGGTTGCTTGAATCTTTTCTCTCCTTACATAAGCCAGGTAAAAATTGATGCTCTCACTCTTCTAAGGTGTAGAAGTACATAAACCAATGAAATTTCAGGGATGAACACTTAGTGTCTCCATGCAATAACTGGTATTTCTGCTGTAACCTCTGACTTCTGTGATTAAAATGCCACTTAGGGGCTGGGGATATAGCTCAGTTGGTAGAGTGCTTGCCTCGAATGCACAAGGCTCTAGGTTCAATACCGGGCACCACCAAAAAAACAAACAAACAAACAAACAAAAAACCACAAAAAAACTAGAACACTATTTAGTGACCTTCCAGGGAATGTGAAACTCTATACTGGGTACCATGCCTGGCTTCCTATGGAGAAGATGCTGGGGCCAAGTCCTACTGCTCTTAACCCCTGAACTGAACTGTTCACCTTGACCTGTCTGATCTAAGAGCTGGGCCTCTCTGTACGCTCCCAGGGACTTACTTACTTGGTCACTGACCTCCTGCTTGTGCTAACTCCAGGACGGGTCACCTTTGGTTGTCTTTTTGGCCACCACCAAGGCTTTCGATGACTGCAGTTCTAGATACCGATTCTCCTGCTCTGGCTGAGGGCCAGGTTCTCCACCCCCAACCAAAAGGGCTCATGTTCTCCACTCCCCAGGCAAGAACAAGGACTCTAGAGATGTGAAACGTTAAGGAAATGGAGGTCACATCCCATGCCTTTCATGGTGGTAGGGCCATTTAAGATGCAGGTGCCAAAGGGATGACATGGACAAAGAAACGGAGAGCTGTCAGGGAAACTGCCTAGGGAGGTGACCTGCAGGAGGAGATTTCAGACAGGTGAAGGGCATTCCAGAGCTCATCATCCATCTATTCACTCGACAACCACAAGTTCACAATCAGTGGATGAGGCACTTTAGGAAACAGTGACATAACACAGGAGACCTGTGCTCACTGACACACAGAGCTAGGCCATGAGGACCACTGCTGAAGCCCTACCTTCTTGGGAAACTGTTTTCTGCTTTCAACTCCTGTGCCTGATAGCAAGTCAACAGGGGTGAATCTGGATGTTGCATATAAGAGCCCAAATCCACCCAGGTATATTGGACCCTAAGTTATATTTCTTCACTGAAGGCTAAAACCTATTAGCTCAAAACCTAGCTGGTGCCAAGCTCAAATTTTTGCAAACTCAAATTTTTGGGCTATTTTTTTCAGTAGCCCAAACAAGCAGATTCTTAATTATTTAGAGCCCATTTTGCATGCCCCCATAAAACGACAACCAGCATCAGCTGGCCAGTGACAAGATAGAGACTTTGTGTTTATAAAACCCTTAGCAACAACTGCCTTTGGAGCAATCGGTCCCAGAGATGCACTGTCAGGCTGCTGAGTGACAGACATCACCTGGACACCTTAGAAGCCCCGTCTGTGGTCCCCCTACCTAGGAATTCCCTTGCCCTCCTCCTCTGACCTTTTACAAACTCTTGCTCTGATGGATTGCAAGTCTACAAATCTACCAAAGTGTTGTCTAACAAAGCTTCTATGTTCTCCTACCACTTTCAGGTCATATCTTTTTCTTTGACCATCCCCCAATCTTCTGAACTCCCTATACCAGGCTGCTATGTTTACAATCATGTGACACTTTTCTCCTGAGGCTGACTGGAGGATGGGTAACACCTGATTCAAGGTAGCCAATCAGATCATCATTCTTGGGAAAGTGGAATTTAGAGAATGGAAAACAATATTAGACACCCAAGTATCCTTATAACTAGGTTCTCCCTCCTCCCTAGAAAAACTAAGTTTTCTTTGCAATGACACCATATTAACTAATGTTAAAACAGAAATAAAATAAAATAAATCAGTGTTGGGAAAGATTAATTTCAACAAGTGGTGATCTAGGAGGACTATCTCACTCCAGTCAGAATGGCAGTTATCATTAATACAAGCAACAATAAGTATTGGCAAAGATGTGGGAGAAAAGGTACGCTTCTACATTGCTGGTGGGACTGCAAATTGTTGCAACCAATCTGGAAAGCAGTATGGAGATTCCTTAGAAAACTTAGAATAGAACCATCATTTGACCCAGCTATCCTACTCCTCAGTCTATGCCCTAAAGACTTAAAAACAGCATACTACAGTAACACAGACACTTCAGTGTTTAGAGCAGCACAATTCACAATTGCTAAACTGTGGAAGCAACCTAGATGCCTTTCAATAGATGAATGGATAAAGAAACTGTGGTATATATACACAATGGAATATTGCTCAGCATTAAACGAGAATAAAGTTATAGCATTTGCAGGTAAATGGATGGCATTGGAGAATATCATGCTAAGTAAAGTAAGCCAATCCCAAAAAATCAAAGGCCAAATGTTCTCTCTGATAAGTGGATGCGGACTCATAATGGTTGGGGGGAGAATGGAGGAACTTTAATTGGGCAAAGAGAGGAAGGGCAGAGGAGGGGGTATGGGGGTAGGAAAGATGGAATCATTGCCCACGGTACGTGTTGACTGCACATATGGTGCAGCTCTATAGTGTGCACAACCAGAGAAATGAAAAGTTGTGCTTTATTTGTGTACAATGAATTAAAAAGCATTCTGCTATCATGAATAACTAATAAGAATAAATAAAAAAAAGGAATTGGGAATGGGAAGGGGGCCTTAAAGAATTCACACCTACGGAGGTGTGAATGAGCAAGACAGGTACTCAAAGGAAAGAAAGTGGGTCAGAGAGCAAGAGGAACTGGAGGGATGGGGAGGAACCAAGGTGGGACAGTTAGACTGAGCCCCAGCATGGATACCTGGGGGCGCTTAGGATGCAGGTCAGGGGATCCCAATATAACCAAAGGAAACCACATTGTTTATTTCCTGATGTACTGAGGTATTTATAGTACATGCTGAGACTGGTGCTGAGGTGATTTGTCTTGTTCCCTCTTCAGGGAAGCTAGAAAACCAGAGAAAAGGCTGTGAAAATACAGCCTGTCCTCAAGAGAAAAGTCAAAGGCAATCAAAAGGACTGATCTTGAGATGACTTGGACATCATAATTAACAGATATTTTAAACAGCCATTAAAGCTAGGCATATGATGCTATTCTATGCCCATAATATTTTACAGAAACAAAAACATTATGCACACGGCATAAAAGAAAGAATGTTCATGATGAACAAGAACTGACTGGAAGATATATTTTTTAAAAATATGAAATTAAAAATTTTTTTCTGAATGTGCTTCAGAGAAGAATGGAAAGGATGAAAGAATCTATGATCTTGAAGACAAAGCAAAGGATTATCCAACCTGTAAAACAGAGAGAAAAAATAAAGAATAAAAAAAAAATTAGACCCTTGGGGACCTGTGAGACTGACTACCCATCCATCCATCAGCATATAGCAATTAAAGTCTGAGAGGAGAGGAGAGGATAAAGAAGAGAAAAATAATGAGGCATCAAGATTATTTGAATAAATAACGACCAGAAACTCTCCAAATTTGGTTAAAGACATACCTTTTCATATTTAAGAAACTCAGTAAACACCAAGAAACACATAGAAAGAAAACCACACCTAGTCATATCATAAACAAACTTCTGAAAACGATTTTAAAAACGAAACATGGCGAATGCACAATATAGAAGACCAAAGGCAAAGATGACAGCAGATTTCCCATAAGAAACTATGCAAATTAGAAGACAATGGGGCTATATATGTAAAGTGCTGAAAGAAAAAAAGTCAAATTAGCATTCTATAACCATAGAAAACAGCTTTCAAAAATAAAAAAGGAAAAAAAATACTTTCTGATGTGCAAAAGTTAAAAGAACTCATCACGAGCAGACCTGCACTATAGGAAACATTCAAGGAAGTCCTTCAGGCAAAAAGAAAGTAATAATAGAATATGGATATATACAAAAGGAAAAAAGCACCACATGATAACTGCTATAGTGTGGATCTTAAGTGTTCACCCAAAGGTTCATGTATTAAAGGTCTGCTTGCCCGGGAGGTGCTATTGGGAGGCAGTGAAACCTTTAATAGGTGGGACCTAGTAGAAAATGATTAGGTCACTGGAAGCGTGCCCCAGAGGCAATTCTGCTCCCTTCCTATTTTTCTATTTTGCTCCCTAACCATTAGGAGAGTGGTTCTGCTCTACCATGTGCTACAGCCATGATGTGCCGCCTTAATACAGGCCCAAAGCACAGACTGAAGCCTTCAAAACTGTGAGCCAAAATAACCTATCTCTTTATAAGTATTTGTTTCAGGTGTTTTATTATAATAATGGAAGGATGACTAACAAAATAACTACATAGGTTAATTTAAAACACCTTTTTTTCCCCTTAATATTTGTTTTGCTAAAAGACAATTGACTGTTTAAATAAAAATAATGGTAATGAATGGCAGGGTTAATATGGAACTGAGTAGTAAAACAGAGGAGGGCAATAGTACACAGGCCAGGAGGAAAGATATGGTTATGCATTAAGATTCTCATACATTAATTAGTATAATATTGCTGGAAGGTGGATGGTGATAAGTAAAAGATGTTTGCAGAAAATGGCAAGGCAACTACTAAAATAATATTATTTTTATGTTCATTAAAATGGTAAATAAGATAAATATGAATATTAAGAGGGAGATGAAGCCAGGCACAGTGGTGCATGCCTGTAATCCCTGCATCTCTTGGGAGGCTGAGGCAGGAGGATAGCGAGTTCAAAGCCAGCCTCAGCAAAATCAAGGCACTAAGCAGCTCAGTGAGACCCTGTCTCTAAACAAAATACAAAATAGGCCTGGGGATGTGGCTCAGTGGCCAAGTGCACCTGAGTTCAATCCCCAGTACCCCAGCCCCCACTCCTCCAAAAAAAAGGGGAGAAGAGTCACAAAAGAATACTCAATCCACAAGGAGGCAGAAAAAAGAAAAAGGTAATAAAGAACAGATTAAGTATCAAAAAAAAAAAACAACAATTAACGAAGTGGATAGTTTAAACCAAATCAAATCAATAATCATATTACATATAAGTAGCCTAAATATCCCAATTAGAAGACTGATTGTCAGCTGGGACAGAAACACAAGACCAAAGCATATGTTGCTTACAAGAAATCCATTTCAAATATACAGCCACAGCTAGGTTAAAAGTAAAAAGATGGAAGATGATACACCATCCTAACATTAATAAAAAGAAAGGTGGAATGGCTTCATTATTATCAAAGTAGATTTCAGGTCAAAGAACATTAGCACAGTAAAGAGGGTAATTCCATAATGGTAGAGGGAGTCAAATAATCAAAGGAACACAACAACTGCAAATATTTAGACACCTAACAAGAGAGCTTCCAAATCACATGAAGAAAAGCAATAGAATTGCAAGGAAAAACAGACAAGTGCATAGTCTATGATTTTTAACAACCTTCTCTCAATAATTGAGAGAAAACTAGACAGAAAAATGAGGTAGTATACAGAAGCCTTAAACAACACTATAATTAAATTTATATCGTGTCAAAAACAGTACATTCAACAACAAAAGATTACACGTTAAAGAATGTATGGAACAATTACCAATATAGATCACATTCTAAACTATAAAATGTGTATTAATGAATGTGAAAGTATTCAAGTTCTACAAAGTATGTTCTCTGACCACAACAAAATTAAATTTGAAATCAATAACAGAACAATATTTTGAAAATTTCCAAATATTTGAAAGAAAAATACAGTAGTTTCCCCTTATCTGGGGAGGAAACATTCCAAGTTCCCCAGTGGATCTCTGAAGCAAGAGAAGTATCAAACTCTAAGTATCTGGTTTTTTTCCTGTACATACATGTCTATGATAAAATTTAGTTTATAAATTAGGCACAGTATAAAATGAACAATAACTAAAAATAAAATAGAACAATCATAATAACGATTATCATCTCTCTCTTTCTCTCAATATCATCTTGTACTATCTATCAATCTTAGCAACCTTAATATCTATATTAAGTTGAAAACTTTCACCTTTTCACTTAAAGAGAGCACTTTATTGCTTTTCATTGGCTTATCTGAATTGCCAGTCACACTACTCTTATGTTTGGGGGCCATTATTGAGTAAAATAAGATTGAACACAATAAGATGTGAACAAAATAAGATGAACACAAGCAGTACAATACTTCAACTCTCTCAACAGTGGAGACAGCTACTGAGTGACTACAGGTGGGTAGCATACACAATGTGAATATGTTGGACAAAGGGATGATCCAAATACCAGGTCAGATAGAGCTGGATGCACAAGATTTCATCATGTTACTTAAAACAGCATGTCATTTAAAACTTATGAATTGTTTATTTCTGGAATTTCCTATCTAATATTTTCAGACCATGAATGATGGGTGGGTAAACTGTGGAAGGTAAAGCTGCAGATGACTGGAGACTACTGTAACAAATTTATGGATAATTCATAGGTCAATGAAGAAACTAATAGGAAAATTCAAAAATATTTTTAACTGGATGAAAGTGAAAACATGAAACAGAAAATTTTGTGGGGCACTACTAAAGCAATTTAGAAGAAAACATTAAAAGCTTATAGTCCAGAAGAAAGGTCTTAAAACAATAATTTCAGCTTCTTCCACCTTAAAGAACTAGAAAGAGTAAATGAAAGCCAACACAAACAGAAGAAAGGAAACAGTAGAATAAAAATCAATTAAACACAAAACAAAAAAATAGAGGGAAACAGTAAAATCAAAAGGTGATTCTTTGAGAAGATCAATAAAACCGATAAATCTGTAATCAACATTGTTAGGGGAAAAGGGAGAGAAACTATAGTTATCAGGAAGGTTAAAGGTGTTTTTGAGACAGTTATTAAAAGGACCTTAAGAACAACGTTATGCCAATAAATTCAATAATTTAAATTAAGCTGAAAAATTCCCTGAAAGATACAAACTAACAGAGATCAATCAATAAAAGAACAGATAATCTAAATAGGCTTACAACTATTAAAGAAATTGAATTTCTAGGTTAAAATCTTCTAATAAAGAAGATTCTGAGGGGCTGGGGATGTGGCTCAGGAGGTAGTGCGCTTGCCTGGCATGCGTGTGGCCCGGGTTCGATCCTCAGCACCACACACAAACAAAGATGTTGTGTCCGCCGAAAACTAAAATAAATAAATATTTTAAAAATTCTCTCTCTCTCTCTCTCTTTAAAAAAAGAAAAAAGAAGAAGATTCTGAGCTTAGATGGTTTCAGTGGTGAAATCTACTAAACATTTAAGAAAAATAATAGTGATATATCTACACAAATACTTCCAGGAAATTTAAGAGGGAAGAATGCTTTCCACTTTTTTTCTGATTTTAAGATCACTACAATACCAAAACCAAAGATATACGGTGGACCAACCTGAACATACATGCAAAAATTTAAACAAAGAGTTTAACAAATCAAATCTAACAATAAATTTAAAAGATAATATTTGACCAAGGGGGTTTTATTCCAGGAATACAGGGTGATTTAACATTAGAAAGATCAACCTAGCTGGGTGTGGTGCCACATATTTATAATCCTAGCTAAATGGGAAGCTGAGGCAGGAGAATCCCAAATTCAAGGGCAGCCTCAGTTTTGGTGGGATCCTCAACACCTCAGCAAGACCTTGTCTCAAAATAAAAAATAATAAGTGCTGGGGATGTAGCTCAGTGATAAAATGCCCCTGGGCTCAATCCTAGTGCTCAAAACAAACTAACAAAACAAAACCCCAGAAATATCAGTATAATTCACTCCAGTAACAACTAAAATGAAGTCATATGATCATCTCAATAGGCATAGGAAAAACATTTGACAAAATCCAATCCTCTAGGTAAAATCTGTCAGCGAAGTAGGAGTAGAACAGAACTTCCTCAACTTGATAATGAGCATCTACAACAAAAAAACACTGCCAGTATTTATCATATTTAATGCATAATGAAAGACGGAGTGTTTCCCCCCTAAGATCAGAAAAAAAGGCAAGATTTTCTCTCTTATTTCCATTTACACACTGTATTGGAGATTCCAGCCATGCCATTAGGTAGATGTAAGAAAAGAAATAAAAGGTAATCAGCTTAGAAAAGAAATAAAACTATCTGCACATAATGCCATCATCTTATAGAAAATAGAAAAAAAAATCTACAGAAAAAAAATCTTAGAACTAATAAGTAAGCTCAGCAAGACTGCAAGTTACAATGTCAATATGTAGAATGCATTTGCATTTCTATATCTTGGCAAAAAAAATCAGAAATTAAGATTTAAAATACAATTTGCAAAAAAAAAATTTTTTTTTGAAACACCAAGGCATAAATATGTGCAAGACCTGGCAAAATACATGCAAGACCTATATGTTAAAACTACACATTATTGAGAGAAATTAAGCAGAGTGATATACCATGTTCATGAATTGGAAGATTCAATATCATTAAGAGGTTACTTCTCCCAAATTGATCTAAAGATGTAAAGTAATCCCAATGAAAATCCCATTAGACACTGTTTTTTAGTAGTTGCCAAGCTGATTAACAATTCATGTATTAGTACAAAGAATACAGAATAGGGGCTGGGTTGTGGCTTAGTGGTAGAGCACTTGCCTAGCACGTGTGAGGCATTAGGTTTGATTCCCAGCACCACATATAAATAAATAAAAAATAAAGGTCCATCAACAACTAAAAATTTTTTTCAAAAAAAAAAATCCAGAATACAAACAACTTTCGAGACTTATCATAGTAACACTACAGCAATCAAGACAGTGTAGTAGGCATCAAGATAGACAACTAGATCAATGCAGAAGAACAGAGAATCCAGATACAGATTCACATAATGTGGTTATTTATTTTAAACAAAGTTACAAAGCAATGTAGTAGAAAAAGGGAGTTTTTATGACAAATGGTTCTGTAACAATTTGAAATCCATATGTTAAAAAAAAAGCCACAACAAACTTCAATACATACTTTGAATCATATATAAAAATTAGTTTAAAGTGAACCTTGGATCTAAATGTAAACGCATAAAACTTTTAAAAGAAAACATAGGAAAAAATCTTCGAGAGCTTATGTTAGGCAAATACCTTGTACATAAAACACCAAAAGTGCAACCCATAAAAGAAGAAAAATAGATAATTGGGATTCAAAATGAACAATATCTACTCTTGGAAAGACATTGCTTATAGAATGAAAAGATAACTCACATATTGGGATAAAATATTTGCATATCCTATATCTGATAAGGAACCTACCTAAAATATATAAATACCCTCAAAACTCAATAATGAGTGAATAACCATGTCAACAACGTAATGGGCAAAATATTTGAACAGGCACTTGACTAAGAAGAGATATTAATGGCAAATAAAAACACGAAAAGATACTGAAGGACAAGAGTCATCCACTAGTTATAGTAAATGCCCAACAAATCTATAAGGATACACTACCATTGCACACTTATTACAATGGTTAAACTTAAAAAGGATTGATCATACTGGGTTTGGTCAAAGATGTGAAGCAACTGGAACTCTCAAATACTGCTGGTGAGGATGTAAAATGGGTAAAAATTCTTTCAGAAACATTTCAGTAGCTTCTAAAATAGTTAAAACATATGCCTATGAGATGGCTCAGCCATTCCAAATCTTATGTTTTTTTTTCCTCCCAAGAGAAATGGAAGCATATGTCCATGCAGAAATCTGTACACAAATATTCACAGCAGCTTTATTTGTGATAGCCCTAAGCTGGAAACAACTCAAATGTCCATCAAAATGTGAATGGACCAATTGTGATATGCCCATGCAATGGAATACCACTTAGCAATAAACAGGATGGAAGTGTTAATGCATGCTAAAACATGGAGAAATCTTAAAATAATTATGCCGAATGAAAGAAGCTATTCACACTCCACTCAGAAAAGTACCCGCTATGTGATTCTATTTATATAACATTCTAGACACTGCAACGTAATCTACAGTGACAGAGGCAGATTAGAGGTCACCA